TTATCACATCCATCACATGTGTTGGATTATTATTTGACGAGAAACTTTCCGGGCGCGGAAAATTTTTTTTAAAGCCATGTCAGGTTCAAAATTTCGTCTGGGAATGTTCATTTTTTTTAAATTTTAGGTGTTGCGTATAAGTTTCGCAACTGTAAGGGCTCTCGTGTTCATCTTCTAATGTCAATTAATTTGCCAATCTGGAAATTTAAAGGCAAACTTCTGAAATGAATAACACGAAAGTAGGAGTTATGCATTTCCGTTACCGTATTTCCCGGGACTGCCCAGACCGATTTTGACTCTCTGTATTTTCTCATCACAAGCTAATTTCCCCAAATACTCTGACCCCATTAAATCAGGTAAAAAATCAGATCTTGGAACTCGGTCTGATAGCCAGAAATATGGTACTCAAAAAATAATAGTGATAGTGCACTCATAGAGAGTTATAGGAAATTTAATTTTTGGGAAATTGATTCAAGATACACGTTAAAGTTTTACCGGTATATCTTTCCTTTTGTAGGGTCTACTAATTTAAATTCAGCATATACCTTGAGGGAGGTGGCGGCATGTTAGAAAATATCCAAACAAGGTCGCGAGGCAAAAAAGGTTGGGTACCCCAGCTTTAGTAAATTCACGAAGAGGGAAAGAGGACCTGACAAACTTTTGCTTTCGATCTATATGTTTTCAGTAAAATATTGTTGCACTAGCAAATCATGGATTTCGGTCACATGACCAATCTTGTTAATAGAAACGCCTATTCCAACACCGACACCGGCGAGCGTTTGTGCGGAAGAAGCGGAATTGGAATGATTGTATAGCTTTATCTCCCATGTCTACACCACACAACTTATAATGTCTGCTTATGTAATGCAAAATTGTGGTATAAAATTACTCGCACACAGCTTATTTGTTAACTTTATACTCGCACGCAAAATATTTGTCAACTTCAAAATTTTTCTTTCCAAAAACTAAAAAAAATGCGATTTTGCAGTCTCTAAAAAAACTAAAACGGTGCCTCGCACGTTTCCCAAAAAAATGCACTAATAGTGAACAGTGGATCCCAGATAGGTTCAAACCTAATTGAATTTGAAATTGATTACAATCAACAATTCAAGTTATTGATATTGGTAATAATTTAAAATAGTTTTTTCAAAAATTAGGCGATTAGGCGAATCTCACAATATGAACAAAAGACAATTGATTACAATCAACAATTCAAGTTATTGATATTAGTAATAATTTAGAATAGTTTTTTCAAAAATTAGGCAATTAGGCGAATCTCACAATATGACCAAAAGACATTTATTTGATTCATGAAAACTGTAAACTATAAAAAATCAATAAATACAGTGTTTTATCTCCTGCGCATATTCATTTAATATACAATGACTCCAATGTGTTCTCTGCTGAACTTGGCTTCAAATTAATTTTCAATATTCTAAAACATTATTTTGCATGATTTACTCAACGAACGAGTATCAGTGACTGGTTATGCAGAGCCTTGTTCAGAGCAACAGCAAATGGATCAAAACATTCAGTTAACTCATTAATTCCACAAAGCTTTGATTAAAATATTTTTAAATAAACTTGCAAAGCTTGACTAGGAATATTCTATCTGTACAGCATTATTTATCACAGTGACTGCTCGGAATGAGCCTTGCTCAAAGAGAAAATTAATGAATCAAAAACCGACAGATTTTTTATTGAAATCTCATGAAGTTTCATTCAAATATTACTCATACAAGATTCTAATATCTCAAACTAAAGTTAAAAGATTGGGGATTTCGGCTTTCTATTTCTCTCATTGTCAGTGAGTAACAGTATACAACAGCAAGGGCCAGATTTGCCATTATGCAAAGTGGGTTAAAGCCGAGAGGCCTCAAGCCAAACCTTGGCTTTCCAAATTGTAATGATTATTCATTCTTATTCGAATCAAAATTATACTCCTTTAATTTTGAAAACAATATATAGTATACTAATTTAAATTAGGTAAACAGTTTTTTTTCAAATTTGCTTTTATTTATTGAATAAGAAAAGTATCAATATATAACTAAACTAATTTTTCTAAATATTATTTTAATTTTAATATCTCGGATCTTTTTTATTGTAGCCCCAAATATTTCAAAACATGCAACGACAACTTTTTTATGTTTTAAATCATCAATTGGGTAACGCCCCGTCACACACATATACTTCTCACAAATAGAAACAGGTTTTTCTGGTGCAATAACGTTTTATCACAGCCCAAGTTTCACAAAGATTTTTAAAATAACCTGCTATCCCATCTACTTAGGTGATTAGAGAACATTTCTTGCCTGCAACTAAAATGTTGAATTCCACACAAATAAATTATTATATATGACATATACTCCAGTGTTTACCAACCTTTTTTCCAAGCAACTCAAATTTTTTTAGAAAATAAATTTTGTAAAATATTGCGACCCAAGGATATACTCAAATACTAAACGAAATGTGGGCCTAGTACTTTTATGACCACACAAGTAAATGACTAATATAAAAAAACATACATTTCACCTTTTTCATAACATTTACTTCTCCAAAAATTACATCAAATTGGGAAAACTGCACGCATTTGACAATATTAGCGAGTTTTTGAGGCTTTCTATGAGCAAAATAAATGCTGTCAATGTCAAGATTTTTACGCGGTACTATTGAGAAACACTTCAACACCAACTATAGAATAAATGATAAAAATTACTAAAAAATATGAAATAGTAACTTTTTGGTCTTTGCTGAAAAAACCTTCACCCCAAGAAAATTTTTAGGTGACCTAGCTTTGGTCATCTTGAAATAAGTTAGAAATCATTCATATTATTTAACTTTCTGTAATATTTCACTCCACTAAAAGCAATTAATGATTATCACAGGTATTGCTATATTGTGAGGCGGTGTGGCTCATCGTGCTAAGCGTTAGGAATACGCTCGCCACCGCATCTCTGATTACCCTGCGTGGGTTCGCAGGTTCGAATCCCATGCGGGGTAGTTATGTGCGAGAGGATTGCTGGACTCCTCGCCGTCGTAGGGTGGTTCACGTAATCGCTGAGTGGTTACGGCTTCTTCCACCATCAAGTTCATGCTTCAGAAAAACAAATACCGTATTTGCTCATTTTGTAGCCCGGGCCCATATTTTTTTCAACCAACTCTCTAACCGGACCCTTATTCAAACCGGCCCTTATTCAAGCACGGGCGCTTGTTATTTTAAATCGTTACAATAATTAATATATTGTTATTTCCAGTTCTAGTATGATTTAAACGAGAATAACGAAAACTTTGACTTTCTCTACGCACCGCAGGTACAAATCCGCAAAAGAAGAAAAGTTTTGCGACGCACTATCAATATTGAAACGACGGACTTGGGCGTCGCGACGCCCAGTTTGAGAACCATGGTGTTACGTAATCAGGCGCGCAGCCAGGATTTTCAAAAGGGAGGGGTTTCAAAATCGGAAATTTCGATTACCGTGTGTAACAGTCGGGGCGATTACGTGCTGGTTAAATAAGCCGCCTTTTCAGCGTATAATGATTTTTCTGTTGCTTAAATTATCCATGACAACTACGAAATTCGAAAATGTCCTTATATATTAATTTAATTGTGCCCAAACTAACTAGCGGTTGCGACTTCTTACGTCAAAATAAAAACATTACTTCTCTAAAATACCACGTTGATCTGTGGACATAAAAATATGAGATAAGCTGCCTGATGTATTCAATTTTTTATATTGTTTTGATCCGTACTTTTGCTTTTTTGCCACTTCAACAAATTTGAGATGTACTTGTAACACTGACTCCTTTCAATCGCAATACTGCCACTCCGATTATTTTCTAAGATAAAACGTTCCGAAAAATCCGTAATTCTGCATTAAATTCTCACGGATAAATTTTATTTCAGTACAATAAATGTTGTTCGAATGTACTTTATAGATTAATTATCTTATACATCATCACAAACCGGGAAAAGTCGCGTTCTCAACCTTGTTTAATGTTAACACGAACATTTGTGACGGCAATTTTCAAAGTAATGGACAACAAGGTAAATCCCGCTCACAATTCACCGTGTTTCGATTCTAGTCACAATATGCGGATTGAACATAATGTGTGCCGTAGGCAGACGAAATTTTGCTATTTTCAATGCCTAGAGAAGCGTTTTTAGACTGTCGCGGGCCTTAACAACACTTGTTTATGGTTTTATTTTCAGTATTTTATATTGCCGCTTTTCACTCAAATAATTTAGGTCGTGGATTTATTCATTAATTTATCTTTAGAATCTCGCCGCCGATGAACGTATTATAAGTCTCACCGGATGCACAATTCCGTGCGAGTAACAAAATAAAATAATTGTCATCGTTATCGTGGTACAAATTTGTGGAAAATTTGTGATTTAGAGACAATAAACGTCAACGTAAAGGCGTTTAGGGCCTAAATGACACGTCACGACGATGAAAACATTTGGCGATTTTAGCAGAAGGCAATCGTACGCAATAAGGCGACTTTTTCAATTTTCAAAAAAATTCAAGGGGGGGGAGGGGCGAACCCCCTTGGCTGTGCCACTGTACGTAATCAATGCTATTTATTATGTACTTGGACGCCTATGCGTGTGTGTTATCTACCCGCGCTTAAAATTCAACAGCGTTGTGACAAAAGCGCTTCTTATTTCCTAATTGTTCTCCACCGCTGAAAAATCAGCTTTTACATCGGGCGGGTATTCAAGCACCGGCGCTTATTTATTTTTATGTTCTGTTCACACGGGCGGCTATTCAAACAGGCCCTTAATCAAGATCGGGCGGTGAAACGAGCATATACGGTAACTAAAACTAATCCCATACCCGACATGGACTGGTAACCGGACGAGAGGCAGTGGTATACCATATGGTTAAGCCGTCTTATTGGCTTTTCTCTCCCCCGGGATAAATATGTAATTCCTATCCTAATCCCATCCTATAATAGAGCTAAAGGAAAGTAACTATAAGTAGATCATTGTGTCACACCTCTGTGTTATTTCCAAAGGATGATTTGAAAGCTTGTAATTGATCTGATGACAGGTTACAGTTGTCAATGTCCAACAATCTAACACAGGATTGATTGGAAAGTATTTGTCCGACTGAGGATAAACCTTCAACTCCCATGTTTTCGTTTCCAGCCAGCCGCAAATCTTTGATCTTTAATGAACAAGAACAATGTTAAAGCATAATAAGATAATCTTGTTGGGCAAAATGTAAGAAAATTTTGAAAAAGAAAAAAGAAAAAGCCACTGCGCAAAACCTCAAAGCTTACCCAAAGAAATATAAAATATTTCGAAGTTAAATTAAAATAACGAAATCAGCAACAGATCAGGCATTGGCATCATATGTGGAAACAGCACTGGGACCTGGGCTGTCACATTTTCACATATGTTGGGAACAGAGATGAATTTAAAATGACAGTTTTTAGTTTTTGAAATCTTAAGCAAAAGATATAAAATTGCTGAATAAAAAATGTTATTACGGTAACTAAAATTAATGTTATGACCATTCCATTGTCTAAATCAGACATGGGAAGAGTACGGCCTGTGGGCCAAATCCGGCCCGTTGGTTAATTCAATCTGGCCCGCCCGATGGTGCCACAACCAAACTAAAATCAAATTTTGATGTTTTAGCTAAAAATAGCCCAAGGAACTGCTTGAGATTGCGGTTAAATTTAGTTATGGCGAGAGGTGTCTCGTTTTCCAACTTTGCTTTGTAATACTGTAGATATTGTTTATAAAATGTAACTTTTTACGTCACATTTTCATGGCCCGCCAGTCTAAGTGGGCAAGATTTTTGACCCCTCGTTTAAAAACCGCGCCCACCCCTAGTATAAATGTTTCAAGGTTTGGACTTCGGAGCCACAATACTGAGTGTAAAACTGATTTTACTATTCCCTTCTAAAAAAAATTCCCTGATTTTTTGTTTTGTTTCATAGCTTGATAGAGCTTACTTGACAGGGTGTTTTCACTCTTTGTTGAGCATGAACTATTTGAACATGATGAAATTTAAAATATACTAATCAAAATAACACTATAAATACCGCTGGGATCATGAACAGGGGGGATGAGAGCTAACCGCCTCAGGAAGGGGCCACACCCACAAGCAATAAATGAATGGGAACAACTGTTCTATATATAGTATTATCTCGCTAAATCGCAGTTGCAATTTTCTAGATCCTTGTTCAAACTAGAGACATGAAAACACAACTTGCAGAATTTGATATCAAAAACTTCTCCACATTGTGTGTTCATGTAATATGCTGTCACTAAGTCTTCACCAAATTATGTTAAAATATATCAAGTCCAAAGATTTCAAGTTTAAATAAAGAATGCTGAAATTTGATAGTCAATGCTGAAGCAAAAATGTTCATCTCATTCTTAGACGGGTCATTTTTGGGAAAAATCTTTCAACCAATTGACTCAACAAGTGTGTGAGCCCAGAAATGTTCAAAATTGATTGATCTAAAATCGATAACAATCAACCTTTCTAATTATTGATTTCAGTAATAATTCAGAATAGTTATTTTCAAAATTTATCATATTAGGCAAATCTCACAATATGACCAAAAAGACATTTATTTAATTTATGTGAAAACTGTAAACAATAGCAAATCAATAAATACAGTGGTTTATCACCGAAACATATTTATTATACAATGACTACAATGTGTTCTTCGCTGAACTTGGCTTCAAATTAGTTTTTAATAATCAAAAACATTATTTTGCAGGATTCACATAACAAACCTCAAGTATCAGTGACTGGCTATGCAAAACCTTGTTCAGAGCAATAACAAAAGGATCAAAACCTCCAGTTAGCTCATTAATTCCACAAAGCTTTGATTAAAATATTTTTTAATAAACTTGCAAAGCTTGATTAGGAATATTCTTTCTGTAAAGCATTTTTTATCACAGTGACTGCACGGAAAGAGCCTCGGTCAGAGAAAAAATTAAAGAATCAAAAACCTACATTTTTTTCATTAAAATCTCATGAAGCTTCGTTTAAATATTACTCATCCAACGTTCTAATACCTCAAACTAAGGTGAACCGATTGGGGATTTTGGCTTTGTACTGCTCCAATTGTCAGTGAGTAACAGTATACAACAGCGAAGGCCAGATTTGCCATTATGCAAAGTAGGTTAAAGCCTAGGGGCCTCAAGCCAAACTTTGGCTTTCCAAATTGCACGATTTCATTTTTATTCCAATCAAAATTCAACCCATTTAATTTTGAAAAAAAATATATTATACTAATTTAAATTAATCAAACATTTTTCACTAAATGATTCCTTTATTTATTGAATAAGAAAAAAGTACCAATATGTAACTGAACTAATTTATCTAAAATTATTATATTTTTACTATCTTGGATGTTTTTTATTGTAGACTAAAATATTTCAAAAAATGCAATGATACTTTTTTGAATGTTTTAAATCATGAATTGGGGAGCATCCCAATCACACACATTCCCTTCTCCCGACTAGAAACAGGTTTTCTAATGCAATGCCATTTTATCGCAGCTCAAGTTTTCTAAATAATTTTAAAATGAACCTTCTATCCCATCTATTTGGGTGATTAGAGCATGTTTCTTGCCTGCAACCAAAAAATGTCGTATCTCCCACAAGTCAATAGTTTATTTAAGACGTTATATACCAGAGGTTGGCAAAATTTTTTAGTATAGGAGCCGCATGCAGCAAGCCAGGAATATGTGAGAGCCGCACAATTTTTGAAATTATTAAAACTGGAGCTCATCAAATCCGTTTGCATTGTAACTGTTACATTGGTTCTAATATGGGAATGTGCCTTTGTGTATATTCGTGTCGGGAGAGGCGTTTGGGCTATTGACTGCGGCAACATCAGCAATATTTTTGTTTTCACAAAATACAATCAGAGTATGGGTGTTTGGCACGATGGATTGAATGGTTTATTAATTTAATTTTGATCAATTTAATCTGTGGTTGTGTTGACGAAATGAAAGCATTTCTCCTTAGAAATACCACGCCAATCCTCGGATATAAAAATTGTGTAGTAAATTGCACGATTATAGTTTGTTCGTATTTTTGTGAATTCGTCAAATCTGAGATGTTTCCACAACACTCAACTCAGCTCCATCGCAATGGTGCAATGCAATATTTTTAGGATATCGCCATAAGAAAAATCCTCTAGTCTGCGATATTTATTTCAAAAAAATCAATCGATATACATTAATTCTCTTATATACGTCAGGTCCCATCAGAAGTTTTAGAAAACAAAAATGAGTGCCGCAGTGACACAAAATTTTGCGATTTGCAGTGTCTCAATAGGCATTTTTAATAGGTTGCCAGCCATCCTAAAACAAAAATTGTCATGTTTAGCGTTTTATTTTTAGTGTTTTATATTGCCGGTTTGCAATCTAGAAAATTTGGGTTGAGGATTCCCACCTTCATTTATATTTAGCATCTTGTCGCTGAGGATTATGATGTACCAATAACTCACAGTCCTGTGCGAAAACAAAAAAATAAATAAACACAGAAATAAAGATGTTCAAGTCATAAATAATACGTCACGCTGATGAATTTAATGTGGCGATTTTGACAAAATACAATCTCATGCATTATTAGCAATATTTTTCATCTTTCCAAAAATTTCAAAAGGGTGAGAAGGTCAACCCTGAACCTTTTGTGTACGTTCGCAGAAAAAAACTCATTCCTATTCCTAATTACTTTTGTTGATATTGTATATGTCATATATGGAATTGTCGCATGCGACATCTGGGTGCATATATTTCATGCTGGGTCTGCGGCATTGCAGATAGTGCTACATCACCCGTTTACCTCTCGGCAAATACCCGATACTGTATTTAGCATATTTTCAAAACAATGAAGATCGAACAGCGATATTTGATTGCCGCCAACTCATTTAAAATCGGGCACACAAAATAATCTCCGGAGACCAGTGTATCTGTGTAAAATACCACTAATGGCAAAGCCCCTTGAAATTATCTTATTGAAAATTTTACAATCAAAAGTTTTTCCGGCCCTTTCTAAACGACGCCCATGGCACAAGCTATTGCTGCCACACCCTAGATACGCCACTGCCGGAGACGACTGACGAAGGTAGATACAAAATTATTCCACAATTATTATTATGCTAAAACCATTGTGGAGAAATTGTAAGGTATGTTTGATGGTCTTCCTCATATTTTACAACATTTTTTCACAACAATCTTCAAAATGTATCGAGCGTATATCTTCGATAATAAAGCGCTACTCTTACTACCATTCTAAAGCTACAGATCAATGCTATTTATGGAACGAGCTTTTCTGACAAAGCTAAATTGCCTTTTCTGACTGTTTACTCTCTCAAAAATGTCATTTTAGTTCTTGGTTTTCAATAATAACTTTTTAAATTAGTTACGAGCCTATATGATATGGCTAACTACATGCCATCAGGCCTGAGACAATGACGACATAACATTATTCGCGGAATATGAATGTGAGAGAAATATCGGGAACCTAGTCATGTGAGAGGCAATTCGACTATTCGCAAATTACCCACAAAACAATATGAATATTTTGCGACTCTATCAGACAGCCCCGAATATATCCTTTCTAAGAGGCACAACCTTTTTTTGAGTATCAAGTATCGGTATATTTAAAAGAGTCACACCGAAATCCAGGGCACCTAACATGTTAAACTCGGCCAGGGCACATAACTTGTTAAAATTGGCCAGGGCACTTTCGCACTTTCTTTTAGACTTGCGAAGCACCTTTGCACTCATAATTTCCTTAGAGCAACCACTGACCACCCACATATGTAAATAACTGTGGTGAGCCAAGGCAATAAAATGCTTTAGCCTTCTCAGAAACTATCCAAAGTATGAAAAGCATCTATTTGAAAATGTTGAGTCAGAGCTTTGGAAAGCTGCCAAGAACCAACTATAACCCAGATAAGAATTGACAGCCCTAACTTTGTTATAATGACTTAGTATTGAGTTGGCCATTATTTTCAGTCATTCATTTCATCCTTGGCCTTGTTATATTTTGAATGATAATTTCGAATTTTGTACTAAACTATGATCGGTGGAGGAGGTGGTGAAATTGTAAACATAGTAAACCTTGTAAAAAATAATATAAAATTTATCATGATTTCATTGTTACGCCGCACATTGGATTGTTTACATTGTTATCGTTGGAAGAAAAAACATTTGTTGCATCAGGAAGCCTGTGTGCAGTAATAATTGGGTATTATTTAAGGTGTGACGTCATCAAGTTATCAAGTTCATTGTTGAATTTGTAAATTACGTAAATACATTCGTGAATTTCTCTGTAACGATTTTAGCTAAAATAATGGTTGTGGTGTTGTTCTGTTGGAAAAAAAAAACAAGAAAACGATAGAACTAAAATTAATTAACTATAATTAACTACTAGACACAATAACACTCAAGTTCAAGGGTATTTTGTACAAATTTTTGAGCATTATGTCGCATATACAACGAAATATTTTGAAACCTCGCTCTAGCGACATCTCGCGTAATAGAACTCTAGTGTACGCATTTACAAAGCCATGAGCAAGGTTCTAGGGCAGTGGTTCTCAAACTTTTTTATTCCCAGAGCCGCATTTCAAACCTCAAACAAACCTTAAGCGCGTATCTAAAATACCAAGTCTTCGTAACAACAACATGCGTAACAACTAGGGCTGGGCAAAATATTCGAATATAATAAAATATTCAAATGGCATTTTACTATTCGAATATCCGGTAGAACGTGACATGCGCCGCTCTGCTTGGACACCGAACTCGCTCGTCTCCAACTCAATCGTGAATTGTGTGAGATTTCCCAACGACGGTCACTGTCAGGAAAAAACGACAAATTTGAAAAGTCGTTGTCTTTGCGTTATGGTGTTATATGCTTATCTTTGCACTTAACATATCGTTTCAATTCCATATTTTGACCGTTCCGTAAATTTAGAAACGTCAAACCAGATTTGGTATTCAAAATAAATTTCTCAGATTTTGAACTCCGCATGCTTGGTGACATGTCATTAGCCATTTCTTGCATTACCGAACATAAAGTTGATTGAAATTAAGAGTTGAAATGTCTTTTCGGCGTTTCATTGTAAAGAGACGATTCTAGGTCGTTAGAAAACTCTAGTTATTTAAATAGAATAGACTTAATATTGACCAAAAGTTCTTCCATGGTATGAGTTCCTTAGGATAGGATAGGATTTACATATTTATTCCGGGGGAGAGGAAAGCCAATAAGATGGCTTCTCCATATGGCGAACCACGGCCGGTTACCATTCCAAGTCGGGTATGGGATTAGTTATATTGTTTGTTTTTCGGAAGCATGGACTTGGTGGTGGAGGAAGCCGTAACTGACCAGCGGTTACGTGAACCACCTAACGACGACGAGGAGTCCAGCAATCCTCGCGCACATAACCATCCCTGCATGGGATTCGAACCTGCGAACCCACGCAGAGTAATTAGAGGTGCAGTGGTGAGCGTATTACTAACGCTTAGCCCGTTGAGCCACACCGCCGTGCCGCCACTTGTATGAAAAACACTCATTAAGTTGTAACCAGATAAGAAATGTCCTACTCCATTTAAAGCACTTTGTATTAGCTCTTTAGTGATATCTCCATCCTTCGCCAAGTAAAGTTTCGAATATGTATAAAATTTTACTCGACTATGCATGGCCGTTGAGCCAAGAGTAGAACGTAAAATCAATCGTGAATTTTGTTGTAACAATGCACACTGACTCGTTCACGAGTTGCTGCATCTATTATCATCAAAAATGATTACCATTGTTAAATTTTGAAGCATTTGGGCAGTAATAATTACGGTAAGCCTTAAGGCATGATATAATCAGATTCATTCCGTAAAGAAAATTGAGCATTACTCAGTAAGTATTTTAGCTATAATAACCATCGGGGTGTTGTTTTGTTGAAAAAAAAACGTTAAAACTTTAGGAAGGAATTAGTTATAATTAGCGTTTGACCTTCTATTAGGCACAGAGGCCTAGGAATGCTTTTAATGCCAATTTATTCAATCGCTATTTTAAATCAACATTCAGAATTCACGCAATCGTAAATTGGCTAGGTTTATCTATCTAATACTAAAATAACATGAACACCATAGAAAAGCATGAGAAACTCAATTATCATTTCAATAAATATCTGCATCTCGGTTACCGTTCTCTTCAAACAAGCACGGTTAATTTACAAACAGTGATAAGGGAAATCAAATCCAAGGCAGAGCATAAAACTCAGAATAAAATTGATTTGGTTTTGAAATCAGCCCTTAATGTATTCAACAGCTGTCGCTGATGTGAACGCAAGGGTATATTAGAAATATGAAACATCGATATCCGGCGACACCTTATTCTTGCAAAAATCGAGAAAAGGACGGGAATATTAAATACCAAATTTAGGATATCGCCGCCGAAACGATCGCGGTGATAAAGACAATCAGCGATTATGATGAAATTAACCATTAACCAGTAAAAAAACGCTTTATTGCCGACTTTTCAATGTTTCTATGAATTTGACAATGAAGATCGACCTCCGTCGTTCTGGACCTCTGTTATGTATGAAAAATATTTATTATTCGACTATTTGGTATTCGTTAAAAACATTCAAATTATTCCATTCGAAAAAAGATTCGATTTTGCCCACCCTAGACTAACAGCCATTTAAGTTGGCTTTGATTTGTAATTAGTTTGTCAAAGAGGGTTATAATCGTGGAGGATGCAAGGTGCAGTAGCTGCTTGAGATAGTCGCCAGATATTTCGGGACTATTTTCGAATACTGAAACAGAATTAAAATGCTCTAAAAATTGGAATAATCATTGAGGTATTTGATTTATACATAATATTCGGAAATACGACAAAAACTGAAAATCCACCAAAGCAAGCCAATGATTACAGCCATGTCTAAAAATTTTCCAAGTGAAAAGTGTCCGAGTGGCCGCAAAAACGCTTACTGTTGCGTCACTATTGCATCTTGTAGATTAGTCAACGCTACGCAAATGAACACGGGGGAATCCATTCGACTAATAACTAATAGACTTTCGCATTTTAATCTCAAGTCAATGATTAGTTTTCAATAAAAAAATTTTTTTGAAAGTAGGTAATTTTCAAAGCATTAACAAGAGCCGCAGGAAAGGTTGTTGAGAGCCGCATGCGGCTCTCAAACCCTAGTTTGAGAATCACTGTTCTAGGGCCTAACGGTTGACAATGATATAAAACTAGAAGCTGACCATTCAAAATCATACAAATTACCCCAAAAATACACCCCGAAATTAGAGGGGTTTGAAAGCCATGGCAAAGATTTTGGATTCAAATCCCAGGTCCACCATATAACTCCGTGCGTAACAATTCTGTCAGAACTTTCAAACCAAAAAGATTCTGATATAGAATTTAATACATATGGAATATAATGGAACATAGTAAAATAATATTGTATAGTAGTAACTCAGTAAATATCACTGGCTGCTTGCATAAAGCCTGATTTAAAGTCAATAAACAAAACCACACTTTAAAGAATTTAATCTGAAAAATTCGACTATTGGTGTTTTTGCATTGCTGCTTGCATAAAGCTTGATTTAAAGTCAATAAACAAAAACACACTTTAAAGAATTTAATCTGAAAAATTCGACTATTGGTGTTTTGCACACATATTATAGTCAGTAAGCCTTCATCAAACTTTGTTTAAAAAAAAGTAAAACATATTTTGTACCAAATCACACAAGCTACTCACCTTCACATTTGATCCTTTTAATCCAGATGCCAGAGTTTGAAGTGAGGCTGACTTGAGATCACATTTTCTGAAATCCATTGATAGTGATGTACAGTAGGAAGCTACTGATCCAATGACATGAGCATCACTGATGGAGAGAGGATGTTCAAACATGTCAATATTATCCAGAGATGATTTGACAATGTCACTCATTCCATCCTTGGCTTCGTTCAATGCAGTGAAAAGTTCCAAAAGATCTGATTCGTCTCTAAATTTTTGGAGTTGCAATTGCAAACATTTCTTGAGAATATCTCGTTTCTCCTTTAGATCCTTGATATCTGTGAAATATATAAATAAATATATTTTACACAAAGCATCTATCGATGATGCTTATCTCTAGCTGTATATACAGGGCTTTTTACAAAGCAACAAAAGACTTGAATAAGCTCCATATAAAAAATAATTACGGTAAGTGGAAGGCCGAATCTAGTCAGCCATAGTTAATCAATGTACATAATTGGTTCCCAACCTGAGGTGCTACTTTTGCTATAAAATCTTAATCATTGGTGAAAAAAATAAATTTGTTTATTGGCGGAAAAATTAAAAAACGAGGAACTATGGGGACTAATTTTAAAGTCTTTGGGTTGACCAATCCCAAACTAAGGTCTCCCAGTTCAGAACAATCTTAACCACCATGACATATTATCTGTAGACAGAAGACATTTTAATTTGACTATGAGTCTGTGATTCCCAACATCTTTTTAATGATTTTCCCCTCTTTACCTATTTTCTTTCTATGAATACTATAGTATTTATTGAATCACTAATAATTGGCCGCTTTTCGATGAAATGTTCAAGCTGCATTCCCATTTTTGCAAAGTTCAAGTGATCAAGCATTTTTTGGGCGGAATTCTTCCTCGGTTGAGAAGCATTGCAATAAGTGTAGAATTTTACCACTTGTGGGTTTAAATTTTATTTGACAAAAAACAGTGGCGGTTCAAAATTTCCTCTAAGTTGTTCCTCATTTTTTTTTGTTGCGTGTCAATTACGCAACTGTAAGGGCTCCCGTTTCCAATTTCTAATATCAATTCAAATGTTGGAAATGTGAAGTCCACAGAAGGCAAACTCTCTATGAAATGAGTAACATGAAAGTACGAGTTGGCACTGAGTGCAGTCAAAGACAGTTATAAAAAAAATTAATTTTAGGGTTAACGGGGTAATTTAATAACTGATAGTATTTGTATTGATTCAAGATACCTATTTTGCAGTTACGCATTGGACTTAATATCCTTTCTTTCGAAGGACCTACTAACTCAAATTCTGCATATATCGTGAAAGGGGCATGTTACAAAATATTCGAAGGGGATAACAAGGCTAAAAAGTTTGGAAACCACTGATGTACACAATATTGGGCAATAGCATGCCGCACCTCGTTGCATTAATGTGTCAGGTATATGTTTCGGACTAGAGTTTGATCAGGCTTGTCATTGCACTCATGATTCTCCTGATCTAGAATCTTTGGTTTAAATCTAGAGTAAGATGTCATTTGTGAGAATACTACTTGGCTACATTTTGTTTGTTTTACACAGAACTTCATAGTAGCATCTGAACACTATGGACAAGAATTACAGTATCAATGTAACAATTCGTACCAGTATTCGTACCAAGATGGCGCACAACCTGAACATAGTATGTGTACCAGGTTAGGGTTGTTCGGGTTGTGCGTCATCTTGGTACGAATACTTCCGGAACACCCAATTTTTTATACAATGCTTATTCATGGCTTTATTCGTTATACAGGCATCCACTTAATATCTAATGATATGTATTAACTAGCTGCCTTTGAAAGAACCGGAATCAGTCCGGTTTAAAATTAATGAAGAAACAGACATGGGAGATGAGTAGCCTATGATGCCAAAAGGGTTGGCCGAGTCTAATACTTCAACCGCTAGGTCATCGCATTGGCTAATTAATCAATAATGCAAAAAGGCAAATTATTAAACCTGAAAAATAAAAAAAATCTGCTCCTATCAATTTCAAGTAACATGATGAGCAATAAATTAGGTTTAGTTTATAAAATATTAAACTTATAAGCCATATAAGTGTATATCCAATGCAGTAAAATATCCAAGGTTGAGTCTAGAGAAGAAAACGACTCCAAGCCTGGAATTGTACTATGCTAAACACTGTACATCAACATACCTCCAAGTAAATCTCTGGCTGCTTCATAAACTGTTGGATTTAATAAAAGTCCACACATCATTTTTCTGATGAGAACAAAGTGACCGGTATGAAGATGTTTATCGACGAACTGGTCAAAAGATTTTAAATTCAGTCCAAGAATATAGAAAGATGTGAGCATTTCTTGAATACTTTGATGTTGAAAGTATAGAAGGTGTATTCCTTGGAGAAGTTTACGATAAATTCCTCCAGGAGCTAGGATGGCTAAATCGGTTGCATCTTCCGGCTTTAGATTAACTTGACGAAAATCATTTTCTGTAAATAGAACACGTTGTTCCACTGTCCCAATGTATGATAGTTCTTTCAATTTGCCCAAAACTTCCATAATATTCTCTTGGTGAGTGTGGGAAGATCGTAAAATGCTTTGCATTACCACAGTCATAATACCAGTTATGGTGTTTGGCTTGAAGTCGGATTCGAATTTCAACGCTATCAGCGTGTAAACCAGCATCACAGGTGTAGTGCACAGTAACAAGAGTAATGGAGCTTTGATTTTGAGAAATTCCATTATTTTCTCTGCTTCTACATTTCCTTCATATCCAGAAATAATTTCCTTGATTGACTCCATTGTTAATCCAGCAAGTGCAATGACCTTGTCTGGTCGAACTTCTCCCCAATAATTTCTGATGGAATGTTCACGACTGGACGATAAAATGCGACAGCCAGGAAATAATTTTCCAGTTAGAAAATTCCATACTATAACTTCCGGGTATGCAGGCTCATCTGAACTGATAATTTCATAAACTCCATCAACTGTATATTGAAGAGTGTCCAAGGAGTCGAGCATAAACAAAACTTCTTCTGGGTGGGTTTTTGCATAATCAATTGCTTGACCTCTTTCTTCTTTTGGGAGATCGTTGAAAATTAATTCACCTGCTGTTACTTTTCTGTTTTTCATAAATTGTTTACATTGTATATATGAAACCATCTTGATGGTTCCTTGAAAATATTTTCCATGCATGGCATCTCTCGATGTTGCTTTCATGAGCGTGGACTTTCCTGATCCCGCTGGACCCACGAAACAGATATGACCTTGTTTGAAGTTGTTAAACAGTTCGACAAGGTGAGTCTCTCTTCTGATCCCGCTTTCTCTTTCGCTCCCCAGATATTTTTGGAATCTAGATGACTCTGGTACATATTCATATTTAATTATTCTTCCACCTTTATAAAAATCAATTTCTTCTAATAGAGGAGTGACGTCCACATTTAGTTTTCTCTCAAAAACTTCGAAAGGTTCGGCAAAGTCATAGAAGTCAGTGCACTTGTAAGTGTTCTCATTGATTTTTGCTATTACTTTTTGATAAGACATTATGTTTGCTTTACAATGTCATTGAGTTTTAACATCCAGTGTACGGACAATGTGGCAAAGCTTTATAAAAATTTATCCATCTGTTGTGAAATTCTCTCTTATATTCTTCCGACAATATCTTATAAGTTCTGGGATACAAACTTTAACTAAAGCTGCTACAAATCTGAACAGAAAATATTTGTTAACCAGGTGCGATGAAACCTAACATAGATGCCAACAAATCCGTTATGGTTGATATAAAATATACACTTTTGTAAACAGTTGCAATTGCTAATATCATTGTAAAATAGTCTCAAAATTAATATTAATGTGTTTTACTTGACCTCAAGTAAATTAGGTACTTTTTTATGATGTTTTTATGCGACACCCATTCCACGCTTTCTGTTTTGAACAAGGCCATCTATATAAGCAGCCACTGATATATAACAATATGAAAGGGACTGCTATTTTTAGCAAGAATATTTCCAGACCTCAAAAAATCACCTTATATTACCGGTAAGTGTTTTAAAAACAGGAAGGCAGAAAGGAGTATCCCGTCATAAACATAGTGGGCTAATGAATAATCATAAAATGTTTGTCCACATATTTTTATATTTTTCTTGAGGATAAGCAAACTCATTGAAAAGTGAAATATGACTATTCTGAGGTAGGACCCAATGGTATCTACCAGGGAGTCTGCATACTGCGGCCCGCAAAAATTGTGGGGCCCGCAGCGAAGTGCTAATTATGAATAGTGTGCCCGCGAAACAAGTTTTTAGTTTAGGTAATCTGGTACGTGTGAGCAATTCCAATCTATTTGCGTTGCAAAACTTATACCAGTATCTGAGTGCCACTGTCGTATTAGCAAAACTAGCTAGCAAAATCTTGTTGCAAAAAACACAATGTTATAAGAGCGTGTTTCTTACTGAATTCGTTTAATGTCGGTGTTGCAATGAATGTGAATAGCTGTTTCCTTTGGAAATCTATGCGTTTTAAATCAACATTTCTGAAAGGACTCCTAACAATGCCGTACAATCAATACCAAAAAGAAACAAATTTTTGTGCTTGCAACTACAGTAGAAATTCTACCTACAAAATTAATTCGTTCAGGAAGCCCCTTCGTAGATAGAAAACAGGGACACATTTTATCTGTAAATGCATTCTAAGCTCCCACAAAACTCGGGCGTAATATTTGTATGAATTATAATAATTGTTAAAACCCGTAACGAATACATGTATGAATTAAATTGAAACTCCGGAGAATAATAAATAGAAAAGATACACATAAAAAGGAGGACAGAGAAATACCGAATAAAAACTACGAACGGTATGTTCGTTTATCTTTGGCATTGATGACCAGGCTAGGCTAAATGAAAACAATGGAGAGTGGGAGAACGGCAGTGGGCGGAAGCAGCAAAAGTTGCCTACTGAGAAAGAACGTAAAGTATGAAAAATAGCACACACACATAAAATTAAAAAGTTTCTATTTATTTTTTCATCGTATCATTTTCTTCTCACTCAATTTCCCTGGTAACACATTGTACGTACCTCGGGAAACAAATGGGATGATGGGATGGTGGATAATTTATTGCCGCACTGCACATGGCTGCCATCGATTGCAATAAAAAATGAAGTACCGGTAGTGTGAATATTTTAAATCAAAATGTTAAATCCTATAAACACGAAAAAGGATATTTGAAGGTTGCAATATTATATTCAAGTTGAACATCCCTTATGCAAGCACTTCATTAAATTAACCTAAAATAAACAAATATCACTACCCTCATTTTTCAAGCTTTCGGCCTTTCGTATTTGGAAAATCGTACATTAGCCGAAGCAATATTTTTTCGATAAGAATTTTGGTAATTCGGATTTTTGGTAAGTAGAGTTTCTAGGTGCGGCCTGCGGCTTCACCCTGTTACTTGTATCTGGCCCGTAAAAAGGGTGCACACCCATGGTATATAGTATGGATTCAGGTGCTTAACTTAAGGGACAAGTGCAAGTTTATACTACCCGTCAGATATTGTGAGCTATATGAGACACCAAACGTTCAAAATAAAATTCGAATTTTAATGGTACTGCAGGGTATTGTTGAAATTCCATATGTTATTGAACGCCTCTACAATGAGAGTTTTAATTTATGCGATGTATTAGAGCCTGTTACTTACATACAATTTATTTTCATTTATGTTTATCCATTTTCATCCTTAATGCTATATCTGAATGATTAGTTATATACAGCATGGGGCCAGGATCCTCGGTGACCCAACCAGTCTTGCATACTGACCCTTCACAAATAATTGTTGAATTATTTTTATTTCTGTTGCTTCAAATGTGTTGACTTCATTCGAGTTATTGAAATCTCTCTCTATCTTTACCACAAAAATATAACTTGATTAAATACATAGCTTCACCTGGAACACAAGGATATTTAGACAATGATGATATAAAAAGTAGTTTCAGAGTTTTCACAGGTGTCAGTCTTGTCAACTAGTAGTAATAGACAAAACCTCTATTTAACAAAAGACTAATATTAGGCTTAATTAGGAGATAGTTGAGCTAGTCATCTTGAAATTTTGAAAATGCGGCTCGAATCCCCATGGCTATGTCACCTGGCACTGATCAAGGGCATAGCAACTTCAAAATGTGAAAGAGAACTTTTTTTTTTTTCATTTAACACGACACATACCTGCGCTTTTTGATTTGAACAAGCCCAGGTACAAGGAGCCAATTATATTTTCAAGAAGCTTACTTTGCTGTTAAAGTTATCCAATCATTCGAAGCGTAGAATTTCATATATCTCAGTCGATTCGTTTGGAATATGGATTGATAGTAAGCCAAAAAATGTTTGAGTCATCAGTGAATCCCTTAGGAATAGGGCTAAATAGTGTTGTAGAGACACACGAGTTTATGTCTCACAGGAAATGCCACAAAATAACTTCACAAAAAGCATTTGGCAGAAGACCCAGGTTAGGTCTATGACACTGTGTAGGCTATACATTTTATAGGTAATTATACAGATAATCTTAGTTTCCAGTGCATTATATGAAAAATTATCAAAGAATACAGTCCAAGTTTTTCATAACAAATTTTGGAAAGTTAAATTAGGTATCCGTCATAATAATGTCACAAAGTAATTCTATCTGAATGATTAAAAGTTTTGACCCTCAGAAAGAAGAATTATGAAATACAAGACTATTCAGATATGAGTAATATTACAATTGAGAAAAAGCTGTCAATTCACTGTTATTTCATGTTGCATTAATTTTACTGCTCTTGATCTAGATTGACCAAACATGGGCTCTTGATGAATTGTTGATTTATCTACTGACCATAATCGTCCGAGGAATAGTTCATTTATTATAGCCCTATAGCTTTATAGGACTAGTGAATATATTGGTATTTTAAGAAACACAGCATATTAATCACCTGTCTGACGTCATCTGTTTACTTAGCACTTCAATATTTGGTACTAACTGGCATCTTATCAGAAAACCTAAATAATCATTGACTAAGAGTAAACAAAAGGTACAGAAATATCACAGAAGAGTTTCACAACAATTGAGAGGTGCGACAAACTACGTAAACACAATATCCAGCCAATACAAAAAATAACTTGATTCAAAATTCCTGCCACAAGACTACGAATCGGACAAAACAGACAGTCTAGAAGGAATGAACATAGGAAAAGTGAGAAAACTTTAGTTTGTAATTATGTTTATAAATATTGTGTAAGAAATATATTTACAGAAGAAAAAAAAAACTTATATACAAACTTCCAATAGTAAAGTTTGAATTAAAATTAACATTATTCTGCAAAATATTCCAATATTAGCCTTATCTGTGGAATTAATTATACATGACAATCCAATTGTTTCGGCCACATGTTGTGTCAGCCCAGACCAATGTATGTGTAATAATTAATAATGTGTGACTGGGAGGTTAAAAATTTAATTTATTAGATAAAAATACGGAAAACAATACCTCACACTACTGCTCCCAAGTTATCAAAAACCTTCTAATAAAACCTTAATTGAAAAACGAAGATAAACATTTTATTAAAAACATTTACTATGAATTGGACACAAGCTACCCTTTTTACTGTCTTTTTCTGTACTTCATGCATAAAAACTTTGAACCGGTGGCTATATTTCATGATGGATAGAGCTCCAACCTCAATAGAAAAATTTCCAAAAAATTACTTGAATACCACAAAGTGTCTTCATATGGTTGTTCAATGTTTATTACGCCAAACCATACACCCCAGATAAATTCTTCCTATATGTTACTATAACATATTATTTTGAGAATGCTTTCACGAGTTGATGCTTACAAACTGTATGAGACATTCATAACCATCGTTTTGATTCCAAATATCTAAGAACCTGTCTATCAGAGGTACTGTTAGTTTATTCTAGTCTATTGCAGCTTTTTCTGAAGTGCTTTTTGCAACTAAACTAAGGCTATTTTGACAAAGTGACAGATTGATGACCATTGAGTTATTTGATTTATACTGAATTTTTGAATCACTAAAAACAGACAAACATTTAACAAAATTATGCAGATGATATAATGTTTACAAGCATGCCCGCAAATGTATCATAGCGACTAGTTTTGGACATCCATAACTTAAACTGCTGTTAAGTATTACAAACTTCGAATTTGTACAACAATACTAAGATATCTTATATAAAGAATCTGTACATAATATATATCTTATTTACCAGACAGATATTTTTACATTTGTAAACTACGGTAATATAACCTTGAAGGCTAGGGTAAAATTTTTAACAATACCGTTTTTATTTAGAATAAGAAATTGTTAATGCAAACAAACCAATTGTGATACTAGGTTTTCTATTTCATCTTGGTAAAAGAAATTCACTTATAGATAAATATATATCCACCTTAATTGACCCTTGTAGGCTGTAATGCATTCGAAAGACAAATTTGGTATGAGATGATATAAAATCCAATTATATATGGTAAATCATAAATATTTCAACAATAATTTTAACAAATTGGCGAAAACACATGAAATAAGGAATTCAAAAAAAGTTTGCAATGAACATTCAGGAACTGATTTTCTGAACATTTATGCCGTTTGTATTAATTTAATGATCAAGGGCATCGTAGTACAGCTGCAATACTTAATTCGAAATAATTAAC